CTGTGTGTAAGAAAAGTAGTCCCAATATATCCCAAAACCATGATCTTAAGTGAAAAGAAACAATGTCTAACATCCCCCTCCCCCTCCAATCGAAAACCAATATCACAATCCAGGACCAGAACACCAAGGGACATTTCATTCATACTGAAGTCATTACAATACATGTTGAAGAAAAACTGAAAAAAATTGATAGCCAATACTCATAACATCAAAAATAGTTGTAAATACTAGTACTCATAAAAGATAGAGTATTCAGTCTCAAATGATGTGGGATAGATAAAATCCAGTCCATAGGCAATTCAAAGGGTCAACATCCGTTTGCAAAGCCGTCATCATAATCCATAAAACCATGGGCTTTCAATTAGAAGCTGGGTAGGCAACTTCTCATATTTCATACATAACCATTGCCTTTGGGTTTGCAAAATTGGAGAATGTACACATTCCAAAAAAATCTTTTTTGTACTTTTTAGGGATGATTTTAAGAAATAACTCAAAAATAAAAACATGATTTTCTACATACGTACATGTTGATAATTTGATAAAAAATGGAATTCATCATAATTATGGCAATAAGGAAAGTGAACATTCTCCCACAAATTATGTGTTTATAGGAATGGGTTCTTGGATAATTACCCACAATGCAAATACTTGAAGTGGACATCTTGATACCTTTTATTTTAATTGGTCTTTTTTGGTTACTTTTACATGAGATTGAACATATTTTATGCTTTAATCATATTGAAAATTGATTTTTATTCAAAATAATACAAAGCATATACGCATTTATCTAATACTTTTTGAAATATTACCATAAAAAGGGAAGCACGGCATTGCTCATTTTGAAGGTCTCGTGTATATTACAATGAGTTGCATACCCTTCTAATTGAAAGCCCATGATAAAACACAACAATTCACAATGGTCATCAGGAGAAAACTATGACTTTCTCAACCATTAATGCCATAGCCGGGATCCACCTCAAAAGGTGCCATGTACATACGGACCGACATGTCTTACAATAAGTACATGTCCTTATGTCCAGCAAATGATGATACGGACCAGAGTTATTCTAAAATCACAGGTCTGTATGTCCGGCAAGCAATTTTTTTCCTTAGGAAATACCCTGATCGCTTAAGACTTAAAGGCATTGTTTATCCATAAAAACTTGAAATTTGTATGTATATTTATTGTGCATGCATTCTAAGAAGTTGAACCAATTAAATTGCATGTATCGTGGATATAGTGCTTCAGATGGTTGACATTTTAACTTATTCTGGGACAGTGTTCCCGTCGTTAGTGAACGCTTGTAGCAGTATTTTGGTTCGAGAATGTTGGAATATAAATGTCATACAATCTCATTGTCAATACACTGTAGGACGCTGAACATATTGAATAATTCACTTACTGCTATCGATAGAGCCGTCAGTGTGCAAAATGCTGTCACAGACGTATCCCTGGAATCTTAATGTATCAGTATGTTCATGATAACCTTAAAGTAATGAGTTAAAAGCTAAAATGCTTATCAATTTTGACCCCACGCCATTAAATACTTGTAGTGCATCATGGGAGATCTTGAAATATTTCCACACCTTTTCTAACAAACAAACATTATTACCACCTTGCCGGGCCAGTTCTAGGGGTTTTAGTGCTAGTTTAGAAGGCATTCATTTTACTTTATCGACCTGAGAAATGTGTGACTTCATAGTGGTGGTCCATATGGACCGGTCTAGAATATATTCTGGACTGGCAAATTTTCCCCGGGAAATTAGATATTGTTCAGTGCGTAGGATTTAAGCCCTGGTCATTAACGGTGGTAATAATACTAATAACATCATTTCTGCGAGCAATATAGTGAAATATTGGACCTTGGGCCTTCAGCCTTCAGTCCAATATTTCACTATATTGCCCTTAGAAATGACGTTATTGTACTATTCAACCCTTTATAAACATTTAGTAGTATTATAAATGGATATAAAACATATTTTCTCCTTCGACTATGAAGACCTGTCAGTTACAGGAAGCCTCAAGGAGTGGACTCGGATAATGCCGTAATTTCCAAAATGGCAGACCACTCAAGAAGGAAGTAGAGTGAATAATTCCAATGATATTGATGCATATAATGTCGATTAACCCACAAAAACATAATCAGCCATTCAATAAATGCATGAAGAAAACATTGAGGTATGATATTATATGTTATCTAGTCAGAGTGAGTCCAGTTTTAAAAAAGAAAATCATGAATATACGAGGGGTGATCAGGAATTTCTGGACCGTTGGCTCTATTTTTGCCATTTTTTAATCCTTTCTTACTGACTTTTTCAAATAATATAACCCAAATATTAGAGGTGTGCACCCATGGCACATCACTTAATCGATCAACGAAACATATTAATCGATTAATCATCGGTTAATCGACCCCAATCTGATATCTGACCCTTCTCAAATTCTAATTCCATACGACGAGTTATTGTTTTGCGCTTCGGCACATCGTACCCTGGGTGTAAATGTCCCATTAGTTCTATTAAAGCCTCGCCCTTCTACAAGCGAAATCGGACGAAGGTGGACCACAAGCATATTGACAAATTTATTAGTGATATCTTCAGCGGCAAGTTTAGAAACGGGTCCCGACTTTCTGACTAGAAATGAAGTTATTGGCGACGTCGGAGTATATATTTTCGGAGTTTACCCGTGTGCATTTGACAAGTGGTAGCTTAGAGTAGATGTACTGTTTGAATATTGAGGTGAATACCTGTACATCTTTCACAAGTGATATTCCACGAAGCCCGAAGGGCAAGTGGAATATCACCTTGTGAAAGTGCTACAGGTATTCACCGAAAATAGAGTGAAATATTTGTTTTATTTATATATCACTGTCTAGCTAAACATCACTAATATTATTAAGTCATAGGTTAACATTGAAATACATTGAATCTACTCGGTTCGTCTGCCATTTTGACTTACACTGAACTAAATTATTTACACTGAAAATTCCCGGGAGCTTTGGATATCGCTAGATATCTCACGGTTGTCTTATCTGATTAGCATTGCCATTGAATATCGCCAGATATCCCACGACATGTGACCCAGTTTTGACCAATCATACTGTCGCTAGCTAGATAGTGATATAGTAATTGTATTTATTATTGCAGAGCACACATTTGACGCGATCATCGTCTTCATTGTTGAAATATTTCCATACATAACTTCTTTTTCCTGGTGTTGTCGCCATTTTTCGACCGCTTGAACTGAATAAAATTGGGACGGTTGCATTCAAATTATACACCACTATTCACCTTGAATTTGATCGCATACTTCTACTGAATAAACCAATGGGATGTATTGGATTGGTATTAAACTAAAAAACAACAAAGGTCACAGGTAAGCGTCAGTCTTAGGGTAATTAGTTTGTTTGGTAGTTTGAGCTTGGCGTGGCAACCTGACATTCACTGCTCAATCAGTCAGTGATGTCACGTAAGCTTACTCGTGGCGGGATATTGAAGAATAACTTTTTGAGAATCAGTTAATTGAGTAATAAGAATCTTATTCGATTAAATGTGTGTCGATCAATTAATCAATGATCGATTAAAAATTCACACCTCTACCAAATATATAGGATCACATCATGAAGATTTCATTGTTCTATGACATCATTATCCTATTATTTTTGTTACCATGGTAACTGGTGACGCGACAAGGTGGAGCTCAGAAAAAATACCAAATTTGAAAACAACAGTAATTTGATATGATGTTTAGACACTGTATTCATTGCTGAATATGTGACATACTGTATAAGTTGTATTGTATTGTATTGATTTATTTCCTTCATTATGAAGTTTTACAACATTAATTAACATTATTATATTCATTATTCTTCCATCAATTCTAATCCTTCAAAGTAGTTACCAGCATTTTGTAAGTACATGTATTTGTTATGTTTTTTCACCCAGTCCTAAAAGATGTGATACAGGCTGTCTTCGACTACTTTGTAACATTCAGGCCCGTAGCCAGGGGGGTTCGGGGGGTTCGGGCGAACCCCCCCCCCTGGCCAAAATTTCTTTCAAAATCATGCATTTTTTCACCATTCTGACTATTTTTTGAGTGATTTTTGGCCAAATTTGCCAAAGTGAACCCTAGAGTTTTTTGGAAAAGTGAACCCCCCTTTGGAAAATTCTGGCTACGGGCCTGACATTGGTGTGTGAATTCCTGAATGATCTCATAATGTCCTCAAAGTGGATACCTCATAATTTGGTCTTCGCTGTTGGGAAAAGATAGAAATCACATAAGTCTGGGGAATTCGGTGTGTGTGGAACACGGCCACAACCGATGGGAACAATCACATTTTTAGGCAAAGACGGTCTGTATCACGTCTTTCAGGAATGGGTGAAAAAGCATAACAAATGTTAGCAAATGTTTACAAAGTGCTGGTAATCCCTTGGGAGGATTAAAAGTGATGGAAGAATAATAACAGTTATTAGACATTAATGAATATACTAGGTGATATAATACAACCTATTATATGTTTGTAACATATTCAGCAATGAATACAGTGTCAAAACATCATATTAAACTACTGTTGATTTTTCAAATTTGGTATTTTTTCTAAGCTCCACTTTGTCACGTCACCAGTTACCATGGTAACAAAAATAAAAGGATAATGATTTCATAGAACAGTGAAATTGTCACAATGTGATCCTATATATTTGGGTTATATTGTATGAAAAAATCACTAAGAAAGGATAAAAATGGCAAAAATGTGCCATTCTAAAATTTCCCAGGATTTTGCAATTTGAGACATTTCCCCTCACGATAATTTGGGAGACGCACCGTGCGCTTATTAGAATGAATATGGTACCCCATATTGTTTTAATAAAATGACATAATATTAACTAGCCCAACCAAAACCATAACTGCCATCTATTTAATCAACTAAATGATCTATTGCAAATGATCTATTGATAAATAACAAGCACATTACTGGCTGGAATCCAAGTGTGAGAACTGACATAAATATGTTTTGCAATCATCAAGTAATCTTCAAGATTTCAAGTGGCATTCAAGATTTCAACTTGACATTTTGACTATAATTCAACATCTTATAAGGCAAACAAAACCAAACACATACTAAGAATAAGTGAGGTAACACAAAAGTTTCATTAACTTAATCAAAATGTGACATCTAAGTATACTTTACGGGACATTTTATACAAAAATGCTTATTCTCCTCATTCCTTGTTTGCTTGGATTGATTATCCAATGCAATGGCAACTCTGGTAAGTATCAAATATTATCTAGATTATACAAGTAGTCGCCTTTAAACTCACTTTTTAAATGAGATTGTAACTTCTAAATGTTTAATTTTATATCTACTCATATAGGCTCACATAGACGAAGTATGGTAAAGGCAAATGATTTTAGACAGTCATATCTTTGATCATAACTTTCTCCTGACCATTCTATCATTTTCTAGCGTAGCAAATCCCATCGAACAGCCATGGCTGGCATTTTTACAAAGTATATAGCAAAAATGGCCGCCATTTTTCAAATTGGCCACCTTCAAAAGTGTCATTAGATAGTATACAGAGTTTCAGATCCTCAGGAAAACAATAGAACACCCCATTGGTTTGGGCCTTCAACTTCCTGGACACTAATCTTGCTGGCATTGTCCTTTTTACCAGGAATTTATCCATTTACATTAATTGATGTCTGTTACAATTGTGCACAATATTATAATAACCAGAACCAGAACAACGGCAACGCCAAAGTGTAGCGAATCCCATCGAAAAGAAATGGCTGGCATTTTTACAAACAAAATTTTATAGCAAATATCGTAAAATAACATCCATAAGAAAGGCCACCATTTTCAAAATGGTTGCTCACTTTAAGTAGCCACATCTAAAAAAATTTAAAAATCGCACACAAATACATGTAAATGCTGGCCATTTTTTAAAATGGCCGCCTACTACCCAAAATGTCATAAGACAGTATGCAATCCTTACGAGTATTCACATATCGAAAATATGAACAAAATCGCTCTATTACTTTTTGAATTATAATAAAAAATGTAAAATAACGCACATAAAAATGGTGGCCATTTTTCAAAATGGCCGAATACTCCCCAAAGTTTTATTAGACAATACGCCATGCTTAAAGTATTCACATATCAAATATGAACAAATTCGCTCTAATACTTTTTGAGTTATAGTAAAAAATGTAAAAATTACAGCCATTTTTTAAAATGGCCACCTACGCGAAGTGTCATGAGACAGTGTGCAAGGCTCATAAGTATTCACATATCAAATATGAACAAAATCGCTCCACTACTTTTCAAGTTATAGTAAAAAATTGTAAAAAATGGTGGCCATTTTTCAAAATGGCCGCCTACTACCCAAAGTGTCATTAGACAGTGTGCCATGCTTATAGTATTCACATATAAAATATGAACAAAATCGCTCTACTATTTTTTGACTTACAGTAAAAAATGTTAAATAACACATGTAAATATGGCGGCCATTTTTCAAAATGGCCGCCTACTACCAAAAATGTCATTAGACATTGTGCCATGCTTAAAGTATTCACATACCAAATATGAACAAAATTGTTCCACTACTTTTCAAGTTACAGCAAAAATTATAAAATGACTTGCAAAGGCAACCATTTTTCAAGATGGCTGCCATGTATTTCTTCTGTATTTACATTTCTAGCCTAATCAATGTCCTATATAACTTTTTTACATTTAATACATATTGCTATTACAGTTTTATATGCAGTACCTAAATTACTGTAAAAACGCACTAAAATGGCCACCATTTTTAAATGAGCAGACATTTTGAAAATCGGTTTTCGAGCAGAACTTCTACCCCCATTGGGTATATGTGCACAAAATATGAACAAAATTGGGCTAACGGTATTTGAGTTATTGCCCGGATGAATGGACGGACAGACTGACGGTTGGACGGACATACTTACGTAGGTACGGACGGATAGAGGTGTTCCCTATATCCCTCCGAACTTTGTTCGATGGGATAATTATACTTTCATAAAATAAAGGAGCAGGGAAAGTATCGCAACTGACTTTTGGCAGTTATTAATTTTTTGTGAGTAGTTCCTGGCTGTAAAAAGTAAATGCTTGTGAAAGGCGAATCTATAATTAATCTTCAACAAAAGTTCAAAGAATAGTTTCCAGATCAATTGAATTATCTTATAATCCATGTTTAATCCACCCATCAACAAGCTTTTTCAAAATACATTCGTCATTGTCACGATCGTCCCTCATTTTTTACAATTTTTCATGCAAAATTACATTGTACTTGAACACATGTTTCATCACGTAAAATATATAAGGGACTCCATGAAGTTTGTTTCTGAGTTTTTTTTGAAAAAATGAACCTCTTAAAATGCATGTTTACAAAAATAATTTAGAAGTGATGTAAAAGATGGCAATGTTTTTCAATAATAACATACATAGGTGGGTGAATTACTCATGTGTGTTGTGTTTTAATCCTGCATTCACTGACTGAGTTAGCCTATTGAAAAACCATAGAGATAATAATACAAACAGTAATACTATGAATACTTCTACTTCAAGCTCAAATAACCTTATGTGCATGAATTTTTGATTTGTAAGGAATCAAGAGAAACCATTAGTGCAAGCAATTAAATGAAAGCATCGTCCGAACATCACTTAAAAAGTACTAAAGTGGTGTAAAAATTGCAGGATGTTGACAGAAAATGTGACTAGGGGAGAGGGTCGTCTCTCAACCCCCCTCCCCCTCCCTGATCACAGGACTAATACATGTGATACGGCAAAGTCCAATTCAGTTCCACATAGATTAAGTTTCCCTTGCAGTCTTGTTGGCATTTTTATTAGAGTTCATGTTTTGTTTATGTAATGGGTGAGTGGAAGACCCTTGGGTGGCAATCAAATATAAGAGTAGATGTAGTAAAATGTTTTCTAAAATATATATTTGAAATACTTTGTCTATGTACAGTCACAAACTCTAGGCAACATTAACTAGTAATGGGGCAACACCCCAACTCAATTGAGTGAATGTGTAAACCATATATGGAACATAAAACATTACATAAAACAAACTCAGCATGCAAACATGTAAAACTGGCATGGCAAAACAATAGATTGTGAAACTGAATAGTAAAAGCACATACGAAAGACTAGAAAACAAGAGATTTATAAACACTGGTGTAAAGTAATGAAGGGACATGAATGGGGATTGGGCAATATATATGAATAGTAGAAATCTAAAAAATGAAAATTGTACATTTAGTATTGATCATGAACATTAGAGAGGTTAAGTACACATGCTTGTAGCCAGAAAGAGGGGGAGAGATAAGGGAGCTGCTGCTCCCCCAAGAGATTCTTTCAAAATGATATAGTTTCTCACCAACCTGAGCACTTTTCGCATGATTTTTTTAGCCAAAACTGTCAAAAAGTTCCTCCCTAGGCAAAAGCTTTGCCCTTGGTAAAACTGCTCCTACTCCTTGGTAAAAGCTGGCTACAGCCTGTGTAAAACACTTGTGTGAGAACTTGAATGTGAACGAGTACTGTTATGACCCCCAGTAATGTTGTCCACTCTCTCAACTGGTTTAACTGGGGGGGGCATTATATCAATTGACATTATATAAACCCCTTGGTAAAAGCTGGCTACAGGGTTTACGGAAAAGACCGACCCCACCGACCACCGACCAGTCGGTGTTTTCCACTGGTAGCCTCAAAACAGGGTTTGAAGAAAATGTGTCAAAGACCGACCATATCATGTAAAAGACCGAACATATTTGTAGCCTTAGAATATTAATAATTTGATTTTGAATGTCAATCGTTGGACTAGGCAACGTTTTTTACCGATTTTGTACCTTGCAACGAATGGCAAGCAAACAAATTGGTCATGACCGTCTCCTCTCGATTAATTGTCCTGCCTTAGGTCCTAACCTATCATTAACCAACCTATCGTTTCTATGGGAATCTATCCTAATTTTTTACTGAAATTTAACAATTTCGAAACAAAAATGATTTGTTATCGTCATAGCCTACTGAATACTGAACACGATATAATGTTACATGCGTTCTCTTATCGGGATTAAAAGTGACCATTTCAGTACACCATTAGAAAACTTTTTTTGTCATATCAAATGTAGTTTTTACCAGTTGACGTTTAACAACTGAGAAATCAAACATAACGTTACGACGTCAACATCGACGATGTTTGTGTGTTTTTGTTATTGCTTCTAACAACTGAAACATCACTTAAAAATATGACATTACACACCACGACGATGTAACGTTTTCATCGTGATTTGAAATGATAATTATACGTTTTTAAATCACGACCTAGTAAAGGTACTATAGTCATTGGATTCCCAGTTTTAGTTTTACTTCTAATTTTGCATTTTTTCATCTTTATGTAAAAGACCGTCAGCCGACCACCGACCACATGTACCCGCAGTACCCAACTGTGGAGAGTGACTGGTCGGTGGTCGGCGGTCGGTGTTTTACGTAAACCCCTGGCTACAGCCTGTGTAAAACACTTGTGTGAGAACTTGAATGTGAACGAGTACTGTTATGACCCCCAGTAATGTTGTCCACTCTCTCAACTGGTTTAACTGGGGGGGGGCATTATATCAATTGACATTATATAAATCAGGCAAAAAGAGGCCAGTGATGTGAAAATAGTCAATAGGGGACCATAAGTTTACACATTCCATGTGTACGTTCATCAAAATAGTGCGATCTTAACCTCCCTAATAACTGAAATTGTTGGCTCAACCAATAGAATCATTCTATGTTTGTTTATATTTGTTCACATTAATATGGAAGAAAATCGGACATTTTGCTAAAAAGATGTTATTGTAAATCTTAGAAATAATGATAAAGGTAGTATACACCATACACTCAATGGTATTGATTGTGGTTTTCAGAGACTCTCAACAGGGAGTTTAAGCTTGCAACGTTTTTCACAACCTAAATGTGAATGGAAAATATTTAGCGATGCATTTGTATGGGCGATTTGTCATAGGTTGGCGTTTCGATTTTATATGCAAGCTTAATCTCCCTAATGTTAACATTAAGGTAAGAGTGTATGTTTGGAATATTTAGGCAATCCTCATTGGGGTGACATTTTATCATTCACACCCTTGGTATATGCAGCTAACAATATTGAGCGAAGTTATGGCTGTTTTAAATTCAAATAAAACCGTTAACCCGTACCGGTCCAGCTTTTGACCCAAACCGGTCAATTTTCGTTAGCTGCGTATACCAAGGGTGATTCAGGAACTCATAACTCACTCCATACATGATAAGTTTTGTAGAAGAGCACACTAATATACCTGGAATAGAGTACAGAAAGTAAATTGATTTTATAAAATGTTTAAAAATGAGAAAATTCAGTTTTCTACTTTTCAAAAGTACAAAATAAGTAGGTCACTAATTTTTCTCGTTTTTGTATATATCTTGTAAAAATGTTGCTCTTTTCCACGTTCATTAGTGCATTCTGAAAGATGTAGACTGGGTATCAAATCAGTAATGTGTTCCTGAACATTAATGTGTCACTCCAATGAGGATTCATATAAATTCAAAATATTTAAAACCTTGAAATCAATCAAAGCTACATTGTTATGACAGCACAGCCAATTTTGGAGACAACTCATGGATATGTACTCATAACAAGTTACAGTGTTTTTGTTGCCAAGCTATAGACAAAAAATTATGTCATAAGTTAATTCATCTTGCACGTGAGACTTAGGATAAAATTTCTCGAATTGATGAATATGCAAAAATTATTCTTAGCATATCATCCTTCATTTCATTATTTGAATAATCAATTTGGAGAAATATTTAAATAAAGAAGTGTGTTATAACACATCATCATATAGAAACATGGACAATGTTTTTTCAGAAGCTGGATCAAAATATTTGTCTTACTAAAATTATTGGCAAAGGTGTGATGTACTAAATACTTGTACTGTATTTATGATTTTAATAGCACTGTATACTGTACCTCATGAATCATTACTGATAAACAAGATATAGAAAACCTGTTCAAAGTAAATGCTATAATAAGGGCATCATAGAAATTATGATAAAGAGAGGTATTCAGAATTTCTTAGCAACTTACACACACACACAGGTTTGACTGCACTCAAACATTAAACAGTCAACTTGACGAGTATTCAGAATTGTTTGGGAAATGCTGAGGTTATGCTCCATTGATCAAACAGGGGATCAAACAGCAGGGGATCAAACAAGTCCAACCATTCATTGATGAAAACATTTTGAACTAACTTTATGGCACACTAATGACATCTTATGTGAGTGTGCTATACTAAAAGCATAGCCCCATTGGATCCCCTTATATTGGATTATCATAATCCTAATCCAGAAGGAGTTCCTTATATATTTTAAGTGATGAACTATGTGTTCAAGTACAATGTAACTTTGCATGAAAAATTGTAAAAAAAAAGAGGGACGATGGTGAAAATGACGATTGTATTTTGAAAAAAAGCTTGTTGATGGGTGGTTTAAATATGGCTTATGAGATAATCCAATTGATCTTGAAACCATTCTTTGAAGTTTTCTTAAAGATTATACATTGGCCTTTCATATGCATTCTTTTTCATATAGCCAGGAACTACTCGAAAAAAATTATTCACTGTCAAAAATCTGTTGCGATACTTTCCCTCCTTCTTTCAATACATTAAATTGAATATTCTGGGTTCTATGATAACTATGGCAACTCATGTCGTGTGTAACCAGAGCACACATAAACCTTCCACAGAAATACTAGAAGGCAAATAAGTATTATTATAAGTAGAAATGGTAGTCATTTCAAATTCTACTTTCTATTTTAGGCAGAGCCCTACACCAATAAGGCATCAGCACATGATATTTGAACCAAATCCGACAACAAGGCAACATATTTGAATTTTTAACATCTTTTAAAACTATGGGAACTATTTTGAATTCAACAGTCTTTGAAATTCCTTCTTGAGCAGATTCCTATTTTGACCTACATTGCTACTTTCATAATTCAATAGATAGTTGAACTTCTCCTTTTTATTTTGATACCAAATAATCGCAAACTAGACTATGGCGTTATTTAGAACAACAAAACCACGGGTTTTTAAAGGGACTATAAAATATACTACTAAAGGCAAATTCCATCCACGCTCCGCAAAAATGGAATTCCAGGAAGAGTCGACTGGGATATTATCAATAATATCTGTCTATAAACCCTGATTATTTCTTTTCAGTTTGTGTTAGTGGTAGAAAAGGAGAGAATGTAGAAATGTCTTGTCATAGAAGCATCGACTCTAGAGGCACAATCTTCTTGGAAACGGTCCAGGTTCAAGCGTCAACAGCAAGGATGAAGTTTCGTGAGTTTACATGTAACAGCGACATAAAACATGAAAATTTTAGAGATGAGTTGACAAATTGCAACGGAAGACAAAATTGTTCAATTACATATAAACCGTTTAATTTGAGTTGCCCAGACTGTCTAACTCCCGATTGTATATACAAGGAGACAATATGCCCTAGTTGTTATAAAACATCTCATAGAAAGAGAAAGTCTGAACCTATAGAACTACATTGCAAAGAAGCTCATAGCACAATACAAATAAAAGCAGGAATTAGTGGCTGGAGTGGATCTGAATTACAAACAAATATAATACCTTCCTGCATAGTAAAATCAATGCCAAAACAACATCTAGATAATTACAAGCAATATTGTGATGGAAAACAAAACTGTTCACCACATTCTGATCCAATCGGTGAATGTACTGCAAATAATCAAACCCATGAGGCTGATTATGTGCAGATCCTCTATGACTGCATACCACATGTCACAAAAATGACAACACCTATTCAATCTGTTGACAAAACAAGTTCAACAGCAGCGAAACATATTCAGACCAATGGTGAAACAACTACATCAACTATAAATACCCCAGATGAGCAGCACCCACCAGTCTCTCATAACACAACCCCAGATGAGCAGCACCCACCAGTCTCTCATAACCCAACCCCAGATGAGCAGCACCCAACAGTCTCTCATAACCCAACCCCAGATGAGCAGCACCCAACAGTCTCTCATGACAAAGAGAAGAAACATTATCACTACTCCAACAGCCCTGACATAGGTACATATTTATATTCTCAGTTTTAGTTATCATATTAAAAAAATTATATTACATTATGACACTGCCTTGGTTGAATTTAGCATTATTGGCCAAGTTAATACAAAACATAATAAATTAACAAAGTGAGCAGAAATGTGTAATCATATCATATGAATACATTCATACAAATACTTTTAAATACTTAATAAAAAAATTGTATTTTGTGCTCAGTTCATCCCTGCCATATACATGTATACAATAGAGCATTTTGCTTATGCAGGCCATACTGTGAAAAAAATTCATTTTCAAGTTTTCAGGCAACAATTACATAGGCTAGTAGTTATGTACAATTAGTTAACACATGTACATTACGAGATTTATTAACACTTCTTTGCAGCTTCCATGATTCTGATCATCACATTTACATTACATGTAAAAAATTAATCAAAGTTAGTATAAACTTATATAGCCAAAGCCCCACTGTAAATAAATAAATAAACTAAACTATATATGATACAAAATATGTAACATTTAAAACTTCAATTTAGAGATCTAGAATTAAATATAATCTTTGAATATTGATTTTTTAATATTGCAGTTACCCCTCTGTATGTGATTGCGGGTTTCATTCTCACGTTGATAATTACACTATGGGTGTACATGTTCATGCAATATCAATATGACATCACAAAAATAAGGTACGTTGACCCTTTTCATTCATCAATATAAATATAAAGGAGTCGTATCGATATGGAGAACTGAATTCAACAATGTTTTTCTCTTAAACCAATCATTAAAAACATTCTGTAAAAAACACGATATTTTATGTAATGTTGACTGATTGACAACAATTTAATGCGAAATTATTTAGAAATATTTTATGTAACTGTTTTTGTTTACATTTTTTGTTTTTTTAGTGCAATCTTTTTTGCTCCTTTCTACCAATTTTTCAGAATGAAATAAAATGTCTTTCAGAACCTTGTTAGAACAAAATAGCATATACAACATGTTTTTAGACCTCTTAATATTATAGTTATACAAAGGAATTTTTGGTTGATTTTAAAAAGGTATTCAAATAATTAAAACAAATTCCCCTCAAAATAGATAAAAATCAAGATAAACCTTTTATTTCATTAACAAGATACTTTTTTAAAATCAACCAAAATTTCCTTTGTACAATTACAATATTGGGAGACCTAAACATGTTGTGTTTATGTCGTTTTGTTCCAATGATGTTCGGAAAGATGTTTCATTTCACTCTGGAAACATGATACCAAGAACAAAACAAGTGTTTGATGTGTTTTCTAAAACAATATAGATGAAAGTATATATACATATTTTCAAAAAATTATATTGTTAACATTCAAAAGATGACCATTAAATTGAAGATGTGTTAAATTTTTATATTTTTTTTATGACTACAGTAGTTTAAGAGAAACACGTGTTCAAAAAGTTCTCCATATCGATACCACTCCTTTGTTGTTTTACACAAAGAGTGTCAAAATATACCCAGATTTTGAGTTGAGTATTAATAAATAGTCTAAATATACATAAAAGGGGAAAGAATTCAGTGACCTGCAGTTTTTGCACAGTACCTTTAAAAAGTAGGTAAATTTTCTTGATTTTTACTTTGTATAAATTATTTACACTCAACTAATGATTTAGGTACATTTACATTTGAATGAGCTATATGTGTACCTGAAAATAAGGGGTCCGCGCATTATACCAAACCTATTATACCGATGCGCATTTTACCGAAACCCATTGTACCGACGTGCATTGTACCGAAACTCTTTATACCGATGTGCGTTGTACCGAAAGGCATTATACTGAATGCCATAATACCGACACACATTGTAAAGTTTTCCTGTGTTTAATAGCCTTGCCCAAGTCGGTCTCTTTTACTTATCTTGATTTCAAAGAGAAAGAGAACCAAAGAGAAAGCCACGTGCTTTACCGACAGTTTGTTGATGTCGGTAAAATTTGACCAATCAACGGCGGCCCTGTAGCGTTAGCTCATATTATGCACGGTCAAAAACAAGTACACTTTTCACCGGGACTTTTCACGAACAAATCTTGCACGAATCTGAGCACGAATTCATCATGAAAATACAAATATTTTATCAAATAAATATCAATGAGAGTTTAGTGGATGCCGGGGCATCTATCGGATAACCAAAGATGAGAAGATTTCAACGATCGCTGAACATGTAGGCTGAGATTTAATCACCGATCGACGACAACATGACCCGCTACATTGGACCTCGAGCATTGGACTAGGTCTTCGTGATTTTTCATGGCCAAATCAGTTCTAAATCAACATTGAATCGCATGATTTAATTTATATTAATGACTCTTACCTTCCAATGTACATTTAATAACATAATATATTGTAACTACATGTATAACAAAACACTCGATCAGATCATGGAATTTCAAGTCGTAGATGGGAAGTTTGTTTTGTTTATGCAGCTCAACCTGATAACGTTTTGATTGTTCATTCAGCCTGAAGCCACACGTCGAGTCCACGCGATATCTGTCAATCAATAAGGTTTCGCGATACCCCTGATAGCGTAGGTATTATGGAAATCTCGAAACCGTGGAATATTTCAGCATAATAACAGCGGAGATGTATTGGATTGTACAAGGCGGTAATAATTCAAGATCAGATAAGTAAAAAAATACCGACTTGGGCAAGGCTATGTGTTTAACTATATGCGTGTAAACTTAAAGAGTAACTTAATTGATAGACAAATTAGCGATCAGAACACATATTTAAAGTTTATTTGGAGTAAAATATAAGACAGATTTAAAGTTTATACCGAATGCCATAATACCAACGCACATTGTAAAATTTTCCTGCACAGAATTGCCAACCTAAAATGAAAAATTTTCGGGAGATTTAAAAAAAATTGTGGTACTTTTACGGGAGTTTTTTTCAAAATCCGGTAGTTTTTGCGGGAGTAATTTGAAAAAAAGCGGGAGTTTTTATAGGAGATTTTTAAAAAACGGTAGTTTTTACGGGAGATTTTAAAAAAAACGGGAGTTTTTGCGGTAAATTTTTAAAAAAACTGGAGTTTTTTCGGGAGATTTTGAAAAAACAGGAGTTTTTACGAGAGATTTTTTAAAAAGGTATTTTTCGCGGTAAATTTTAAAAAATGTGACTTTTTTGCAGAAGATTTCCGAAGAACTGGAGTTTTTGCGGTAGGTTCTGAAAAAACGGACGTTTTTACCTTAAGTTTTGAGGAAAACGGGGGTTTTAGCGGTAGATTTTTAAAAAAACAGAGTTTTTACGGTAGATTTCTGAAAAACAGGAGTTTTTACGGTAGATCTCTGAAAAACGGCCGAGTTTTTATGGTATATTTCTGAAAAAATTGGAGTTTTTACGGTAGATTTCTGAAAAAACTGGAGTTTTTACTTTAGATTTTGAAAAACGGGAGTTTTTACAGTAGATTTTGAAAGAACAGGAGTTTTTAAGGTAGATTTCGGAAAAAACGGGAGTTCTTACGGTAGGTTTCTGAAAAACGGTTGTTTTTATGGTAGATTTTGAAAAAAGCGTGAGTTTTTACGGTAGATTTCTGAAAAAACGAGAAAAATGGGAAAATTTTTTATGACTTTGGAAACGAATTGATCAAAGCAAAGTAAAATGTATATGTGGCGTTCAATATATGCTGAGGGCAATCTGCCTGAGGTTCCATTTTTAGGTTCGGTTTTTCGCGCATGAGCATTAAATCCAGCGATTTAATTGGTTGAAATTATTATGACGCATGCGCAGTTAATAAATTAATTAGAACTTATAATCTAAGATAGATGTCACTTACATTCATTATTTCACAGCAGTCCCTACCCATAATGCGCCTTATATTGCGGGAATATTTTGTTTAGCGCCATATAAAAACAAAATGTATTTTCCCGACAGAAGTATGACAGAATATGAACTGGCCCCCGTTTGTGGACATTTGGTGCTCAAACTTATACCGAACTGATCGCAGAAAAGCAATTTGAATCATGGGAATGAAGTACTTTTGAGTTATTTATGAAAGTATCGATAGTGAACCATGGGAGCCAATCCTTCTTGGAATAAAAAAAACAGAGATTTTATGGGAGCTATACCAAGAATACGGGAGATTTTACGGGAGTTATACCAGAAAACGGGAGATTTTACGGGAGTTATACCAAGAATACGGGAGATTTTACGGGAGTTATACCAGAATACAGGAGATTTCAGCAAAAATACGGGAGATTTTACGGCCATATTTTTTAAAAAAATTACGGGAGATTTGAGCAGAAATACGGTACAGGAGTTTACGAGAGTTTTTACGGGAGAAAACAGTACGGGAGTTTGGTATTTTTTACGGAAAAACAAAAAATCTACGGGAGATACCCGTAAAAAAACGGGAGGTTGGCAAGTCTGCTGCATGTAACTTAATCTGCGTGTAACCTTTAAGAGTCAATGCAAGCGTAACTCAATTGATAGACAAATTAGCGATCAAACACATATTTAAAGTTTATTTGTTTTATTTGTTGGATTAGACAGATTTTAAGTTTTGATGCATGATATCCATTAATTAGAATTGATTAAAATCCTTACAAACGAGAGAACATCTATTTTGAGACTAGAACAGCCTGTCATCAGAGATAGAAAAGCTATCCATTCTTTCGTCTGTTTGTCCGTCTAATTATTCTGAAAACAACTCAAAAGTTTATAGGAATATGCCTTATGGCCATAGGACATCTGATTTAGAACAATCCTCGAAATGGAAGCCAATAAAAAAAGTTGCTGCCACAATTCTAACATTTATTCCATGTTGTCTAGACTTTAATTCAAGGATCCTTTCTCGAGGGTAGAAAAATGGGATAAAATGTAAAAAAGAAAATACAGTGAATGGAAATTAAATCAAATGTAACGCATCGTGTAAAAGATGATGAAATATTTTCACGTACTGACAGCATTACGTATATTTTTATTATTGGAAATACCTAGCCATATATACAACACACCATTGGAAAGCTCATCTTTTTGTCTTCTTTAGTCTCCTTTCTAACAGAAGTGAATCAACTGTTACGCATTGAACTTGATTAATGGATGACAAAACATTTTTTGCTGACTAAAAATATTACATATGGTTTGAAATAGCGAGCCACATGTACATCAAACCATTGGAAAGCTTGTTTAGTGTTCTTAATTCTCATTTATAACAAAATCGAATCAAATGTTCACGGACTGGGAAATTAAGTGTTACGCACAGAACTTTAATAATAAATCACAAAATATCTTCGCAAGCTATCAACATTATGTACATCTTTTGTTTATTACACAAAATACATTAATAATAAATAAGTGACATATTTTTGCAGACTTACAACATGTACATGAAGGTTTGACTTGGGCTGTGATTTTAGGATGTTTACAGTATTGAGTTTCCCTTCCTTGATGAAGCTTATACTAGATAAGTATTCTGTTGCTATTTCTTGCCTGGTCTTCCTGATTTAAGTACATGATTTTCAATTATACTTATAATACTCTTCTACTCTTATCATACATCTTCTATTACAAGCCTTTTTACATCACAAAATCATTGTGTTGGACTGCCGGTATGCAGCAATGGTTTTCGGTACAACATGCACGGATTTCGGTATAACACACACAGATTTCGGTATAACCCACATCGGTATATTGGTTTTCGGTACAATGCGCATCGGTATAATGAGGTGATCCCGAAAATAACATGGTACTCAAGTTAGGATGCCATGAAAATTTGTAAACAAGTGGAGCTACCAAAATCAAATATTATTAAGCCTAGTTAATATTAACTTAGAGAAAACACAATTTTGGTATCAAACACACTTAAATAATCTCTTCAAAATGTTTCATATTATAGTCAATGATTGACAAATTACCGCAAGATATTTTTCCTTTTTGTTGCATAATAGCTCTCTCCAGGGCTGAATTTACTTTAGAATATGTTTATCTTAAAAGCTTTGTCATATCACTAACTATATGTATATTTTATGCAGCTTTCACATAACTAGAAAAATTACAATGGTTATTCTGTATTTCCAGTATGACCTCTGAAGCAAGACAATACATGCAACTGGATAATCAACCAATTAGTCATTCCAATGAAACGATACAGTAATAACAACTACCATTATGAGATGAGTTCAAAGGGCTATCAACTGTACCTAGGATATCCTTAGCAATGTGAAATTTAATGTGGATTTAAATGGCATCAAAAATGACAATATTGCCCTTTCTTGTGTAAAAGTTTCACCAATCCCCTTTACTTATGACATCACTTCATTTGAGTCCGTCTGAATAGTAGCAAATTGATATGAACATTGGACATAAGACAAGTGGTTTTAAAGATAATGTACAATACATTTATGATTAGATAATAATGATCATATTCACCTTTCCCCAAAGTCAGCTCATGAATATTATAATTAGCAAATCTGAAATCTCTGACGTCAGAGTAGGGCAGATTTTCGCGGGAAAATCTAAACACATTAGGAGTCAATGTGAATCGTGACGGAAACGGGTTACTTTTATTGTCAAATTATGTTGAATAGTAATAATATTTATGATAAATGTCATGGAATTGAATTAATTATACTCACGTTTATATTCCCCCTTCTTTATATTGTTCTGGGAAATCAAATAAATAGAGAAATATTAATGTGAAGAGTCCAATGTTTCCTGTACATTTTCAAATTACGCCGACTGTACAAACCCCATGTTTAGTTCTTGACTGTCAAAATGTCAACATCTCATGGTAATCTTAAGTTCGTGTAATATTTTCTCATGGGGTGAAGAAGGGGATACGGCTTAACCTTGAAGAAAAAGTATTCGACTCTCAAATCTGGGCCAACGGTGCGTTATTATCGCTTACGTTCAGCCAGCTATTGTACCACATGACAATGTTACTTTTATGTCTGCCAAAGAATTTGACAATGGTTACATGAGTGATGACTAATTTCACTGAACAATGTTAAAGTCGTTCATGTATGCTTTGAGACAATGTACCAGAGTTGCTTGTTTTACCCACGATCGTCTATTTCAAGAGATTTATCTCTTGAAAAGCCCATGGGCGTTCTTATTATATCGATCTTTAAGAGAACTATCAGGATATTTTTGGACGTAGACCTACAAGAGAGAAACTCCGGCAATTCAAGCCCGTAGTCAGGATTTACTTTGGGGAGCGGTTTTACTAAGGGGTAACTTTTTGACTACGGGCCTGTAATTAAGCTTTGAATTGCAATTAAAAAGCAAACTACTACAGTATGATGAATATTAGTTACTTCAATATATAATTTGACCATGAGCAATCGCAAATTATTGGGTCAACCCGATGAGAAAAATGCAAGTGGACTCTGACATTTAAAACTGTTCCTCATATACTTTTTATTAGAAACATAATGAACTATTTAATTGAATAATCATGATAAATGTATTATTGTTTGAATGATTGTCAATCTGGTTTGCGTAGTTGGATTCACTTTGTTCAAAGATGAGCACTCGTATCACAATTATTTCTATGGTTTGATTTACCGGATGGTGTATTTAAGACACAGCTTAAGACAAAATAGTCAGAAAAATATATTTCACTTAGTTTTGTTATCATTTTATAATGAGATCTATTTCACTCAATCGGCGATCTAATACTAATTGAAGTTTTGGCGCGAAATGTGCCCTGCTTTGACGTCATTGATTTTCATCGTCCAATCAGCGAAGCGGTCAAATGAGTACACTTTGGACTTTGGGGAAAGGTGAATATCTTTCTTGTCTGACTTTACTTTTTTGTTTTTAAAATAAATAATTGAGATTACTCCTTATGCTTTTGATATATTTCTGTTTGATACCTTATTTATGTTCAAGAGTCCTTGATCTTATATCTTACAAAATATCTTATCATTTTTGATAGATTTGCACAGTAGTTGAAGAATATTGACCTTAAATTGACTTCGAGATTAGATTTTGTCTGTCTATATACATGGTGTTCACTAAGTAATGACACTTTTCAAGTCTCCCATTTCTACAGGTTTTAACCAATCTTTCTTTTCATATTATCTGGCATGCAATACTGAGTGTACATACCTTTCATGTCTAAAGAATGATAATCATTAATTTTATCATATACATTTTGATTTGGCAACATGGTCATTGACACAGCACATATGACAAAGTAATTTGTATCTTCTTCAATGCATTTTATTGTTGTTTGACCAATCCTACTCATTGGAATGAAACTGTTGACTCTTTAGGAGACCAACAGCATGTTCAAGTTCATTTGGTGAATAATGAGCAAGGTCTACATTATTAAAGCATAGCCTACTCTGCATTCTGTCCATTCTCTATCGACTGCATTGCAGTATGACATGAATGTTGCTGCGTTGCAGCCAGTTTCCTATTTCAACAAAACCTTTTCCCAAATAAAAGATGAAGCAAACATAAGGTCAATTCAAATGGAAACAACATCAATGGATACAGGGTCTACTGAACCAATAAAACCTTCCTCTCAATACAGAAATAAAGAAGATGAAAAAGATGTGAAACAGTGTCATATTAGGAATAAAGACTCATTGTGCAAATACTCAGGTAACAAAAAACCTCCACAAACCTCTGAATAATTGATATTGATAAATAGTCTATTAACTTTGAAGAATGTTTCTTGAATCAATTTAATTTTTTTAAATGTACTTCAGTTATCACCTGGGCACAAGGGCTCACAAGTCCATGCTACATTCTTATAATATTTTATCCCATTTTTGTACATATTAGTCATACTAATACAGTTTATATGCAAATAATACCAAAACGGTAAAGACCTTAAAATTTATTTTCAGTTATTTTACAATGGATTGCTGTATTTCTTGGAATTCTTAACGTAACAGTTGTCGTGGGTATATTTGGCATCATATATTTTCAAAGGAATATCAGTCTCACCTTACAGAGGTACATGTATATTCAACAGAAACATGTAAACAATTCCTCATTTCAATTAATTTAACCTGGGGCTGGCCAAAATATTTTTCCTAAAGTAATTCAATGAAGTAATCTAACATCGGAAAAACTTGACATAAAATTTGACAGATCTAAAATATTTTTGATAATTTAAGCTCCAATATGGTCATTGTATTGTATCAAGTGACAGATTTCATACATATCAACCAATTAGAAATACTATCACTTTCTTCAAATATCCTGATGTACATTTACTAAGGATATTTACTTCTTTATATGAAGATAAATGATAAAATATATTTTCAGGGGTAAAGAACCCCATGGACACTTTAGACAACATGGAGGAGAAGGTAGTGCTGAAGTACTTATTAAAAGAGATTAAACGTATCAAAGTAAACTCATACAGCCAACAACAAGGAATGGAATCTGGGTTTTACAACTACAACAACCAAATCCAAAAAGTGACATTATTTGATGGACTTGAGGATCTGCATCTCCAATCTGAACTACCAAAACTCTGGACTATCTATGACCTTTTGTTGTAGTCTTGTAGCATATTCTGAAAACGAATCTGATTTCATAACCTCATTCTTACATGGCAAGAGGTCGAATCAAATCCATCTGTTTGAGTTATCAGAGATTTTTTTTATTATATGAGAGATGGTCATTCTCTTGAGCAGAATTTCTATGCCCATCAGGCATAAGCCTATACAATTTGAACCAAATCTGTTGACGGTTTTTGAGTTATTGCCGAGACAGACATAAGTACAAATAGATGGATGAACAAGTTTACTTTAGTCTCTAAAGAACATAAAAAATGATACACAATATAAACCATATTAACCATGATTATATCACCTAAAACTATCTTGTATTTTTTACAGCTGAACTAAATATAGATATGAATATACAACAAATTTGTGTTTTTGTTTTTGATGTGAAATAAAACGAAACTAATTGAGATAACACGAGGACCTGTAAGTGTCATAAATCAATCCATAGACACTCTTAGTGAACCTATTCAGTATGTTTGTTTATAACATACCTATGATGATTTATAGTGTAAACTGTTCACAAGACAGCGGGTCAATATAAGTTTTGAAAAGCCCGCGCCGGCTAACTTTCTGATTGGTCAAGGCGCTGGGACTACTACGTGCGTACAAGCCACCCAGCTGAAGATAAAACTATGCAAGCAATTTTTCTAAACTCACTTCAGTTCACATAACAACACTTAATCTCAAATTATGTCATATAAACCTATTTATTAACCACGTTTATTGATAAATTTGTGTCTTCAAAGTGCTAAAGATTTAAGTTTAGAAAAATTGTTCGAGTAGTTTTATCTTCAGTTGATCACAGATAGTAATGCATTAAGTCAAATGCAGACATGGGAACAGACCATCAATTTTTGTTTTTTAAACCATAATATTAGTCAATTAAATAAGAAAACAATACTCTCTGACCACTCTACATCACCGTATATAAGTTTCAAATCACATATTTCCTCGGTTCTCAGAGTAATCTCTAATATGTCATCAGTCATTTGATATAAATAACCCCAAAATATCAGTAAAGAGAAAGATGGCTTACATGGTAAAAAAAATCAGAATCCACGAAAACAAGGCAAACATTTGAAACTGCAACTAATGGTGTAAACCAGAACAATGGCAACGCCAAAGCGTAGCGAATCCCATCGAACAGAAATGGCTGGCATTTTTACAAACGAAATATATAGCAAAAAACAACACACCAGAAAGGCCACCATTTCCAAAATGGTTGCTCACTAGCCAAGTTGTCATCAGAAGAAATAATATCCTTTTTAGTAACCACCTATAAGATTTTTGAAAAATCACACACATGTACTTGTAAAATAACACACATAAAAATGGTGGCCATTTTTCAAAATGGCCGACTACTCCCCAAAGTTTTATGAGACAATGTGCCATGCTTAAAGTATTCACATATCAAATATGAACAAAATCGCTCCACTTATACTTTTCGAGTTATAGTAAAAAAAGTAAAAATGACAGCCATTTTTTAAAATGGCCACCTACTATCTGAAGTGTCATGAGACAGTGTGCAAGGCTCATGAGTATTCACATATCAAATATGAACAAAATCACTTCACTACATTTCAAGTTATAGTAAAAAACGTAAAAATGGTGGCCATTTTTCAAAATGGCCGCCTACTACCCCAAGTGTCATTAGACAGTGTGTGCCATGCTTATAGTATTCACATATAAAATATGAAACATACCAAATATGAACAAAATCGCTCCACTACTTTTCAAGTTATAGTAAAATACGTTAAAATGGGGCCATTTTTCAAAATGGCCATCTTCTACCAAAAGTGTCATTAGACAGTGTACCATGCTTTTAGTATTCACATACCAAATATAAACAAAATCGCTCCACTACTTTTCGAGTTATAGTAAAATATGTTAAAATGGCCGCCTTTTTTCAAAATGGCCACCTTCTTCTACCAAAAGTGTCATTGGACAGTGTGCCATGCTTATAGTATTCACATACCAAATATAAACAAA